GAAAGTATTAAGATACTTTATTAGTAAAAGTGTCAATATCCAACAAGTACAAATATTATACACTTTTATGTGTGAGATGATAAAAAGAAATAGAAAAAGAGTACACATTTTCCCTCTGCAGAAGTATAGAGTATCATCATGTAGATTTCAGGTACCTTCAAACTGTGACACTCTCACTTAGATCCATGTATGAACCTCTCATCACTCCATGTATTAACCTATCTTTACCCTAATGAAGAATGACTGGCTCACAGTATGGCATTAGCGGACAGGCAGCTGACTGACGTGTATGCAGATCATTTAGTCCTATGAAACAAACGAACACATTTCAATCCATGCATTTCTTTAAATGTTCTCCTGCCGACTGCAACAATGAGCAACAGGTTGGCGACGTGAAGTGCCTAATGAGAATGTTTTAGTCGTACTCTGGATTTTGATCTCTCATCCATTGAATTGTTAGCCTCACATGTCACAAAATGACAGTATTTCTCTGGATGTTTGCATTCTAACCAGCTTAATGTTCTTATCTCTTTCCTTCATACTCCATCTTTAGAGACAGAGGGGTGCAGCTTTCGTTATAAGATCAGGCTTGGAGTCTTCTTTTTGCCACTGTGTAAAAGAGAGACAAGGATCTTTTAGTGAGCTGCAAGAAGAACATGTTTCTTTTCAAGTGCTTAAGAATTGTGCTTTTTTTCTTGGCCACAGTTTATGATCCAATGCAAAAAGCAGCTGTTTTACCCTTTCACTAAACTGACTGAACTCTGGCAAAAAAAAAAAAAAATCCACCAGTAATCACGGCCTAATGCCTGCATAATTATTGTACACCTAATCCAACCACAAAGAGCTTTGATAAGAATGAAATGACTGTGAGAATAATACATCTCTAAGTGTTACAGTTTATACGGAGGTAATTAATTAGATTTATGTAAACTGACTCACATTCTGATCTGGACTGCCTGCATGCTCTCGCCCCCTGTGCTGAGGTTTCTGTAAGATAAGGATAAGATCAAAAACAGAATATATATTATTGACTTTTAGATACTAAGGTTTGTACACAAGGATTCTGGACGTTAATTCATATCAATTCAATATGGTTGATTTATAGATTTGAATCTTTAATTCTGATTCTGAAAAGAGCCTGTCATTTTTATGCAATAGTCCGAAGTCCAACAATATAGCCTCTAGGACATCAGTGCTCAGGGAAGTACATAGCCACTGTGATTTGGTTGTGAATGCACATTTTATTTTTTATCTTACAGACTTGTACAAATCTAAATTACAGTTTTAATAAATGTAGCTTTTTATCCATTATATTTGATCATCTACTAAGAACTTCTCAGATTGATCACATTTTAGTTAAAATCTTTGTATTTTGTACCTAATGATTAATTATTTGACACACTTTTTTTTACCAAATTGCAAAACACATCGCTTGATTGTTCTCATTTTGATAAATCCAGGCTTTAAATTGTGCAACTAGTCTTTATCCTTTCTCTTGCTCTCGGTAATGTGTGAACGCGTTAGTTGACTTCTGTAAAGCTGAGGAGGAATAAAGCAGGCATGTTATATATATCCTTTATTTAACCAGGTAAAGATAAAGGATATGCATCTTATCTAAAGCCAGTTGAGTAGCACTTGAAATGGTTCGCCTCTATGAAACCTGAGGTACTTATTTGATTCTGTTTTCTTCAAGTTGGTATCTTCTTGGTCGAACGCACTTATTGTAAGTTCGGATAATAGCGTCTTCTAAATGCAATGCAATCTATAACCTGTTGAAGCATGACGGCTGAACTGAGGATTGTTCAGTGGATAAATGTTGACCCAAACCTCAGACCCTGTCTTATGAGAATCAAAAAACAAAAAGAGACTGGCAACAAAGACCCTTGAGTTTATTTCATTTACAACATTATGAACACATGATACATGTTATTATTGTTTCCTGTAATATCCTCTTCTTCTGCATAATGTGTTTGTCAGTGTCCCTCACTCTTTCTCCTCATTTAAAAAGGTACAAATCGTGCAGCTTAACATGTACAGCCAACATGGTTACGATGGAAAATAAACTGTACGGCTGTTTGCAAAAAAGATACTCCAGCAGATGGCAAAAACATACAGTACTTCTCTTTGTGAGGTTACCTTGAGACAAGGCCAGCACACATTTCAGATTTGAAAGAAGAGTAAGAGGATGCTCTTTGTGTTGTTTCTGAATCTGGCCTTTCCTCTTCGATTTATTAAATCTAATTCTTGTCAAATGACTGTTTTTTGTTCTTTGACAAGGTCACAGCCTCCTCTAGACTACATGCCTCTGTATTCTCTGCTTTCCTCCACTCTGCTTCATTCTCCTCAGTGCATCCCATGATACAAAGCATTGAATTTCTCCTTCGTTAGTGCAATATTAAGAAACTGTTAGTCAGGACTTAAGTTGTTACGCAAGCCTTCCCCACCGCCACTATAAGCTGTCAGTTAGTTAACTGGCTGAAGGTCAGGCTTAGATTATGCACCTCTCAACCCCTGTGCAATGAATTTGATGCTTTGTTGAAGAAGGAGTAAACATATGCCCCTGGGGGTAGGAATTAGCAGACACACACACATGCACCCTCTCTCACAGAGCATATACAGAGTGAATGGGGCTTATTATACACCTGCGAGTGGGGTCAAAGTCTGTCAATCCCTAGCTTATGGTATTATAATAGATTATAGAATCACTCTCTAATGGCAGTCATTCAGTTTGTAATCTCGGCAGCTTGATGCAAAAGCACTCAGAGTTCCAGCTAAGGGTCTGTTGAAAATAAGGCCTTCTCCTCATTCATCCCTTACTTCCCCCCCTTTCACAAAGGTCTTATGACAAGTCAGCTGTTGGTGACATCACAGATGCTGGATCAGATGTCAGAAACCTTTGCTGGCTGACTTACATCCCTTGTGGCTCAGCAGCAACTGAGGCCACTTGAGGCCAAAGGAGCGGCGAGGTGCCCGGGGGGTGAGGGGTAGGGGGGCACTTCACAGGGCAGGAACATCTGACCCATGTGTGGGTTTGTTTGTGTGGACGACCGGAGAGTGCCCATCTTGCCATCAGCTTGAGAAGACATTAATCATGTGTGTGAAGAGTGTGTGTGGCTTACAAAGTGTGGATGTTGTGCATGTGCGTGACAGGATATCTGTTCTTGAGACATGGCAGTGAAATCTGCATGTGTTTGAAACATCTTGTCAAACATAAAAGGTTTGGGGGATAGTAGTTTGTGGAACCTGAGTTGAGTTTGGATCACAAGACAGTACCGCCACCTCCAGGTTTCTTTGAATATTACAACCACAGTACTCATAATCAAGTCACTGTGCCTGATTCTTTTAGTGAACATTACATGTATAAATGCTGACTGTTTAATGCAAATATTGACAATTTTTTTGCAAGCAAATTCATATTCATTACCCAAGTACCATGTAGATCTTTAACGCACCTCTTAGTTTGTAATTGTAATTGTGATTTTCTTTTTTAACGTGGTGCTTACCTCTATCTTTAATACATGTACATAATACATGTTCCCTCCGTGGGACAAATAAAAGACTTCTGATTCTATTTCTAGATAAGCTATCGTGACTTTTGCAGGCAGTTTGTTGCCCTTGGAATAATGTTTTTAGTATAGTTTTTGATGGTTATACATGCGTGACTTAAGATCTAGTATTTTAAACTTGCTTCATGTCTTAAGACTATAGGCAGACCTCATTTGATAATGTTATACGTGATAATGTTACATCAGTTTTAACAAAATACTTTTTCAACTGACTGTATTTAGAGGTCATGTACTAATCCTGTAAAAATGCTTGTGTTAATATGCCATCCAATTTTTGTTTCCTTAATGACAATTAAGGAACAGTTTTTTCGTGATGTTTATAAATTTCAATGACCGGTCAGAAATTTAGAAACCGGATGCTACCAATAGATGGCAGTAACATGCCAAATATCATATTAACGATCAGTATTTTACTTTCTGCATTGCTACAACTGCCCAGTTAAACTACATACTACACATGTATCAATATTCTCAAAACTGTAAGTAAAACTGTCACAATTGTTTCATGAGAAAACAGAACTCTATTGTATATATACATTTTCAACATAATGACTTTCTTTTCCATTTTTTCTGACACAATATTCTATTACTTTTAGAAAGGTTTTCACATTATAGGCTACTTTGACTGTTTCATTTGATCCAAAATACTATACTATGAAGTTTTTCTACATTTATCTATGACTTTTGTCATATAGTTCCAGATACTCTACTATTTCTTTTTCCTTAATATTTGTATGATCTATTCTATTTCATTTTTGTTCACCTACTTTACTAAGACTTCATTCATATTTCAAAAATAAATGTTGCCATGATTTTTTCCTTGTATTTTTGATACACTACTATGATCTTTTTCGAAAAACTATAATATGAGTTTTTGATTATATTTTCAACATATTATTTTTAGAAACATGCTGAATACCATGTAAATATACACTGGTCGTTTTTGTTGTAAATAAAAGCGTTTTTTTGCACGACCTTGAAGTTTCAACTTTTTTTTCTTCAAATTAACAGACCTTTTTTATTTATTTTTTTATTGACAATTATTTTACAAACTATCAAGGCTCATTGTAACAGTAAAACATTTCACTTGGTGTTGATACAGTGCAAAAATACAAATAACATACAGCAACAACAAAAAACTTTACGGAAGTGTGCGGGTCCTATTCAAGTAACATACATAAGTCCAATAATGTCATTCCTGTATTGGAGCGATTTTGCAAAAACTTTGAGTTCATTCTTCCATCGGGTCATATGAGGTTTAGCCTTCAAATATTTACACTTCTGAATAAAATGTTTACTCAAATTAACAGACTGTCTCTGAAGTTCTAACAGTTTTGCTTTTTCAGGTGTCAATATTACGAGGGACACTTGAAGGTAGCACTCTTTATTCTGGTCGCTCTGTCGCCAAGGCAACGTTACCAAACAGACCGCGGCGCCACAGACCTGCTGCTTTTTCATCAGGACAGAAACCAACATATCTGTCAGGACTTTCACACAACATACTGTGGACATGGAAGACAGTGATATGGATCCAGAAGCGGCGTATGAACCGTCTGAGATGTTCGAGAATGAAGAGGCCAAGAGCGGGTTTGTTCTGTGTAAACTGGGCAGTCACAGTGAAAAGTCTTTTAGAGAACCTAACGGCGAGTCAAAGTGGCTAAACAATAATTATATTGTAATATAAGATATAATGGTATGTCTAGGCTACAGGAAACCTTTATTTTTCAACGAAGTAGACTATAATAAGAAAGAAAGTATCATAAATGCATTAATAATAATAATAATAATATGGTCACATGGTCACATGACATGGAAGCTTCAAAAAAATGAATGAGTTTCCAATTGAAAAACGGCTGTTTTTTCATTAAAAATGTTTATAACAAGTAGAAGGTAGACTATATAGTTCATTAAAAAATAAATATTCCATGCATGGCCATTATAAATCTGCATTGATTTTGTGTCACTTGACCTGGAAGCTGTTGAAATAAACAGAAATTAAGCTCTATTAAACGATAATTCTATTAAGTTATATTCAAATATTTATGTACAATCAATTCGTATCAGTCATAAAAAAATGGATGGTCCATAAGTGAGAATGAGAGTGGTAAAGTGTGAGGGCTCAGACATGAGCTAACCGACCTCTGACTCAGACAGTCTGTTGAATATCCAATGTAAAACTAACTTCTTAGGTCTTATTTTTTCTATCCTTATATTTGTAATGAGTCCCTGAACCAATATACAAAGGATAGCAGGGCAGCCTGATTACAAATGAGTAAAAATATTCTAGTTTAAATCTGTTTCATCGTCCTTAGTTTTAGTTTGAATCCAACTGCTTACTGTACATCAGGGTCTCCACACAGGAGGATGAAGAAGACCCTGATATGAAGGTCGATGAGGAGCCTTATGAGATCCAGCCTCAAGAGGAGGATGAGGAGGAGGAAGAGGAGGAGGAGGAGGGAAGTGAAAAGGTTTGTTGAGTGTCCAACCCTTCAATGTTCATGTCCTCTACATCCACAGTCATTTATTTTATCAATGTACCAATCAAAAATCACCTTTTCGTTTATTCAGGATTCATTACTTTATTGACAAATCAACATGATTGGTTGGAATATGTCTCAATTAGCTCACTTAAACCAGACAGACCAAACGAGTAAAGCCACTTACTCCCGAAGCCTATAGTACAGTAAAAAAACAAACATAAAACATTTAGATAATATCCTTACCGATTAAATACATATGAGAGCGTAAAACAATGAATTAAATCCAACATACAGGGCACCTAAGATAACACACCAGAACCTGTAGGGAAATTAGCAGCACCACCAAACCACCCACTAGATAAAGTGCATTAAAAACATATTGCACAATTATATAACCTGTCTAGTTATCTGCCTATGTTTGTAGAGTAATGGAGGCAGGTAAGTTTCAGGATAATTATGTGCTGGTCTGGAACCTGCACGTTGATTCTTCTAAGTCTTTTGTGAGAGGGAAGAACATTTAAGTTGTAAACCAGGTGAGAGTGGTCCTTTAAGACTTTAAGTCCCCTAATCTGTAGTCTAGTCGTGTAGATTCCCCTAGAGTGGGAGATCATCCAATAATTCTGGTAGCAGTGAGCACCACTCTGTCCAGCTGTATCCTGTCCCCAGCTAAAATGTTATGTAAACACACAGTTTTGTTTAAGTCAAGATGTTGTCCAATGTTGCGCTGCAATAACCATCCAGGCCGGATTAGTACCTCCAGGGGCCCCTGGGCACTGAGCACTCATGCCCCCCCCCCGCCCAACCCACGTACCAACAAGTAACACCACGCCTACCCAATCCTACCAACATGACCGATATTTAGAATTTTCAGTCAATCTGGCATGTCACCTATTTGTCAAAAGCAGGGACGTAGCCACATAGTTCAACCAAAGTAGGTCTAGCCTTTTGCCCTTTCAGTCAAAAATCACAAGACAAAGATACAATGGATAAGAACTCAAGACAGTGTATGGCTCAAGAAGACCTAGGTAATATCACTCAAAACCTCAGAGCAGCACCCCACTTAATGCCAAAATATGACTGGCTGGCTGTACAAGTACACAAGGAGTTCTATTAGTCACAAACATTGAGAGTTACGAAAGTAAAATATGTAGTGAAATTGTGTGGTTGCTCAAGGGTGGGGCTGTGATTCGGCTATACACCGCCGCGGCTTAGTAATAAAGTTGAGCGCATAAATAGTGAGACCTACAGTACAGAGACGGTTTAGAAAATATATTAATTTGACCCTATAGAAAATCTGTGTTATTTATGGCGAAGATTGAGTGTCATTTAAAACAATGTATGATGAGTGAGGTTGTGCCCTCTTTGCTCAAGGGCCCCTGGGCACTTGCCCAGGTTGCCCATAATGGTTAATCCGGCCTTGCCTCTTTGCCACCTTTTCGAATTGTCTTACAAAA